TTCCCACTTAATTTACATTTCTTACTTTCACTCTTACATTTACGTATCATAACTAATGTCTCTCTTCTTTCTCTTCTTTGCAATATTTCATATATGCCGCCTTACAAAACTTCTTGTAGTCCTGCTAGCGTAATTTGTTGATTACAGTTGCTCTTCAAATAGGTCGTATATTTCTTCCAATCTTCTGTGAATCTCTGGTCCCGCAGGTTTCGTATCCTTCCTGTCATCTTATCCAATTCTGCGTAATCCATTAGTTTCGTCTGCCATTCTTCTTTCATCGGTAATGCTTCTTGCTTCCATTTCTGGGCCAACAATACTCTTGCCACTGTTGTTGCATATAAAAACAATTTAATGTCCTGTCTATTAATTTCTTCACTTATAATACCAAGTAAAAATGCTTCTGTTTTTTTTTTTAATGTATATTTCAACATCTTTTTCTTAACATGGCCACATTTCATTGGATGCCAAGACTGGATGACCACCCTCCTTTCTGTCCTGAACAGGGGAAATGTGCAAAGAAATCCTCTCTGTGAACAAAAAACGATGATGGCTGATGTAGGTACCTCCCAGCCCCACATTAATGGAAGGGAGGCCCCTTGGTAGAAGGGGGCCCACACCATCTTATGGCCCTATCTCTTATTCTGCCTTTCCAGATGTGGCCGCCATTTTCTATAATACCATGCCCCTGGGGCAGCCATTCTGCGACTGGCACCGAAGGCACTCTTTCAAGAGTTCAAATGTGGCTGCAGAAAGCTTCGTAACCCCTGCTGTATAGAGAGGTCCAGATGTGATATAAAACCCTTCACATGAAGAATTAAGAGCTCTGCTTGTGGCTCTGTCAGAGCTGGGCTAGGAACAGGAACCAGAGATGATCCAGAAGCTGGACGTTGTGGAGTAAATCAGAACCTCAGGACAAACCGGAACCAAGGTCCACAAGTATAAGTCAGAACCGAGACACACCCTAATGAGTGGGGGACCTGCCTCACATGGCAAGTGCTGGGGGTCAATAGTGACAGCGCCTTTGGTGCTCTTCCTGAGCCATATCCTCTCTTTGATGGCTGAACTGTGGATGTCTTTGCCTCTTTTTATTTTTATTTTTTACATATAATTTTTATTAAATTTTCTGTTTTACCATTTAAAATACCCATTTTACATCCTTAAGAGATCAGTGACTTCCCTTCTTCTCCTTCCATGGTTCATTTTACATATCATAAACCCCTGCATATTTTACAAAAAACTATACCATTTGGTATTCCATTTCTGCATCCACCAAAACTTGTTTGCAAGTTTTCTTAATCTTAATGCTGCCAGCATTTTCAGCTGTACACAATTATCTCCCATATATTCATTAAACGTTCTCCAATCTTCTTTAAACGTATGTTCTTCTTGTTCTCTTATTCTATATGCTAAGTCTGCGAGTTGTGCATATTCTGTCAACTTAAGTCGCCATTCTTCTTTGGTTGTGACCTCACTTGTTTTCCATTTTTGGGCTAACAAAACATGGGCCACAGTAGTAGCGTACATAAATAACCTTTTTCAACACCTGGGGATTTCAGTTTGAATTATCCCCAACAGAGAGGACTCTGGTTGTTTTTTTGGGGGGGGAAGTACTTTTAAACATTTTTTCCCCCAATTCATTATGGATCATTTCCTGATGTCTTTCCCACTTGAACCAGCCTGCTGAACAGGAAAGGGTGGCAAAGCAGAGGGTCAGAATACAGTCTTGTTGCTGAGAACCAGACACTACCTTTTTCTACATTTTTGTTCTTGTGGTGTCTCCAAAAATTTTTACACATCACTTGGGAAGACAGGTGAACTAATGCCGGTGTACTGGAAGAAGCAAAGATCACCAGTGTTGAAGCAATGATTCTTCAGCATCAACTTTGTTGGACAGGTCATGTTGTGTGGATGCCTGATTAGCGTCTTCCAAAGCAGCTACTCTATTCCGAACTTAAAAATGGAAAGCGTAATGCTGGTGGTCAACAAAAGTGGTTTAAAGACTGTCTCAAGGCAAATCTAAAAAAAATGTAGTATAAGTACTGATAACTGGGAAACACTGGCCTGCTAACGCTCCAATTGGAGAACAGCCTTTACCAAAGGTGTCATGGGCTTTGAAGACACTCAGGACACAAGGGAGAAATGTGCTAAGAGGAAGGCATGCTTCGCAAATCCACACCATGATCAACTCCTGCTCTGAAACCAATGTCCCCACTGTGGAAGGACGTGTGGATCCAGAATTGGCCTCCACAGTCATTTATGGACTCATTGTTAAAACTGTGTTTATGGAAGACAATCTTACTCGGCTACGAGCGATCACCAAAAAAGAAAGAAGACCCGAATCAGCAATGTCACCTTCACCCTTATCCTTGGTGACCTTCTCTCTTACTGTTGACCAGAGCAAAGTTCATTATCCTCAACCCCATAGCCAAACATTATTGGTTAGTCTAACAGGTGGGATCAGTGTCTCGTGAGCAAGTTCACCCCACCTCAACTTTAAAAGCCTGGCAGGACAACTTCACAGCTTCGGTCCAGTTATGAACTTCTCGCCTTTCTTGTGTACCTTGCAATCTTGGCTTCTGGATCTTGTGTGGTTCCTGCTGATCCTGTACCACCATTATCCTGACTGAATATCTCTTTCTTACTTCCATGCAAGAGTCGTTGGTTGTGTTTTAGGAGATGAGCTTGTCAGGAACAGATCTATCCAAACAAGTGATGCCCATATTTCTGTCTACAGCACATTTGGCATGCCTGCATATGAGCCCATTGGGGGGCAAGTGTCATAGTAGGAACTTGATTTGTGCACTTCGTTCCCAGAAGGAGAGAGAAGGAAAATTAATTTTAGAAGAGAGTCACTTTTGGCCCACATCTGTTTGCAATCTGGCTGTGCTATTACATATAAATAAAGCCCCCCCCCCAGTTAAAATGAAATGTGAACTAGTTACAGAGAGGCATATAAAAGATTCCAAAACTTCATTCTCCCGAGTTGTTCATTTCTTTCTTTTTTTCCCTCTCCCCCTGCCTTTGTTCATTTAATAAAGCTGCCAACTGACTGCAAAATGTTAAAGGTATTAATCATCTGCAATTTAACTGCTTAATCGGTTTGCTAACTGATATTTGGTTTTAACATTTTTAGTAAATGTGTGCATATTTTAATAAATGTGCACATTACCAACACTTCCATACAGGATCCTTTTTTAAAAAAGCACACACACACACAAAGGTACTAAACAATCATTTGCAACCGCACCGATTCCAGGATGTTGGACAGTGCTGGATTTATGTATAAGCTAAACAAGCTGTAGCTTAGGGTCCCCAAAAAAATTAAAGGGGGAAAAAAAGACCTGGGTGTACATTTCCAAAATATAAGATAAAAAACAAATAGAATAAAGCCTACATACAGTAACAGTGTTTTGTGTTGTGTAGGTTCCTATGATGCAAGTAATGGGCCCCGCCTGCTAGCCTGCTTCCTAAAAGATCACTGGTTTGCTCATTTCTATATATAGGGTGCCTACATTCTGCATGGACTGGTTGCGTGGCAACATGTGCAAATGGCTTTAGATACCTATGAGGTCCATAAATTACCATATAGCATATATTCAACACAAAAAACAGTGACAATTGTTGACAAAGGACAGCTGGACATAGAAAGGACCCCATTGCCTTCAGTAGCTTAGGGTCTCAAAAACCTAAATCCGGACCTGTGTGAATGTGCCCTCATTCCACATAGACCAAGTCTCTGCCACTACCCTAAAGATTTAGACTCTGAGCAGAATACAGAAAAAGGAAATAATGCCTAGACTGCTTTCTTCTAAGAATAAGAGACAGAGACAACTCACCGTGATTTAGTTGCTGTATTTCAGAATGTGAAGGGGGGGTGGGGAATGCAGGTTTCTCCCTCAAAGAAAGCGAGATGCATTATTTTTCTAATAGCACTTTGATACGTTTTTTTCCACCCTCCTTGCCGTATATGAACCTATTTGCTTTTAGGAGAAGAAGAAGAAATTCAAAATAAAGCCTGATTGGGCCTTCAGCTAAACACAGTTATTTTCGAGCCTCCTTCCATTTGAACAGTGTCCTTGCCTTTGTGCTAACAACAAAATGCCTCTTCTACAGAGAATGACAAACATTTGCTGGTGTTACGAGTCTTACGCCACCCTGAAACGATTGCTGAGAATTATTTCTGCATGTTTTGAGGAAGATGGAGACAATGCGAGTTAAAGGTTCGGCTGGCAGCATAAAAGGAGGGGAGAGATAAATAGAAACCTGCAATTTCATTGATTTAGAAGTGCTTCTCGGGTTAAATTTAGTGATTGTAGATTTGACTGTTGTATATGCCTCCCATTCTTTCACACCGAATGTTTATGGAGGTGGTTTTTTTGTTTCGTTTTCTCTGCTCTTCGTTCTGAAGGCAAGGCAACGCTTTTCATAAGCGCAAGGAGCAGATTTCAGCCCTTTTATGACAAAACTCTCTTGTCCCGTTCTTCATTTCTTCAGCTCTGCATCAGCTCGGACTGTGGCTGCCACTGCTAACACCGATACGGCTGGCATAGTGGTGTGGCGTAATGCCGCGCAGGTTATCCAACATCGTGGTGTAACACAAAATGGCTGTGTTGTGGAAAATGGCTGTGTATGGAAAATAGAAAGGGTGGTGGTGGTGGCCCAAAGGGCCAAAATAAATGTGATAATGTGTACCCCTGGAAATCCTTGAGTGTGCTTCTAATAGAGAAGTTATGGTAACCTGTTGCTTTATGAAACTGGTGATTTTGCAAGTTGCCGCCCCCCATTGGGGCAGGAATACAGCTAATATGTGAATCACAAAGATACAGCTGAAAGCTAGAACATAAGTTGCTACATGGCGCAAATGGCTACACGTAACACAGGTTCCCAACATGCACACTAACACAATGTAACAGAACACGGTGGGAAAATTGCTAGTGCTTATTGCGCATGTGTATGGAAGTGAGAGCTGGACCATAAAGAAGGCTGATCGCTGAAGAATTGATGCTTTTGAATTATGGTGCTGGAGGAGACTCTTGAGAGTCCCATGGACTGCAAGAAGATCAAACCTCTCCATTCTTAAGGAAATCAGCCCTGAGTGCTCACTGGAAGGACAGATCCTGAATCTGAGGCTCCAAGACTTTGGCCACCTCATGAGAAGAGAAGACTCTGATGTTGGGAAAGATGGAGGGCACAAGGAGAAGGGACAACAGAGGATGAGATGGTTGGATAGTGTTCTCGAAGCTACCAGCATGAGTTTGACCAAACTGCGGGAGGCAGTGGAAGACAGGAGTGCCTGGCGTGCTCTGGTCCATGGGGTCATGAAGAGTCGGACGCGACTAAACGACTAAACAACATCAACATTGTGCATGTGTAAAACATGAAATGAGGTAATGATGTATATGATTGGTGAAAATTGAAATGCTTTGTTTGAAATGTTATATATACCACTGCCAGGACCACCGAAACTTCCTGCCTTGATATTAGGCAGGCAAGCTCGTTATATTATTTTTTACACCTGATAAAAACTTTTGCCTTGTTTTGTTTAGGCAAGCCTAGGAAAAACATCTAATTTTACCACGTGCATTTGTTTTGACTTTATCTAAATTTGGGCAATTTTATGGTGCCTGCTTGTTTTTGAAGTCAGTTGATTTTATCGTCGTTTTAAATAACTGTTTCACGTTGTTTTATGTAGCCTGTTTAGATCATTAAAATAAAAAGAAAGACAGGCAGTGTATAAATCATGTTAAATAAATTTTAAAGGAATGTAAGTTTCAAGCTAATTTCTAATTTTTGAAAACAACATCATTTGGGTTCTTATAATATCTCACTTATAATATTCCTTTGAATATTCCACTCCTGCTCCAATTTGGGAAGAAGATTGAACGGGGTGGAGGTGAAGTATGACTTCGGTTATGGGAGTAAATCATTTCAGCTGAAGTCATCATCCACAGACCTTTGTTACTTTCACATCAGTGCTAAAGTCAGAGGCCTCTCACTTGATCCTCTCTCTCGCACTAGATAATGTTTTGCAGATGGAAGCTTTCTTTCTTTTCCTTTCAGAGGGGGGAAACGCCATATAATACAAGGAAGGTTATTTCTTCTCTTGATATTTCAATCATTTTTTCATGAGCTTCCCTGGGGAATGCGCTTATCCTTAATAGCTCAATGTTTTACTGGAGACAGACGAGAAGGATAGCCATAAGATGATTCATGAGAGACTTCCTAAATATATGACAGTTGATTTATTTTTCCGTTGTTTTTTTTTAAGGGGTTGGGAATGGAGAGGAGGATCTGGAGTCTTATGTCAAGGCATTAATAATCTGGACTTAGCCCCCCCAATTGCCATGGCAACCCTAAGCTTACATAATTTTGCAATCAGAAATAGGATCAAGAAGTTACTTAGGTTGTCCTTGGTAATAGGCAGAAGTCCTTCTCCTCTACTAATAGTAAAATAAATAAAGAAATAAATATGACATCTTAGGAACATAGGAAGCTGCCTTTTACATTGGCCCATCAAGCTCAGTACAGCGGTACCTCAGGTTACATACGCTTCAGGTTACAGACTCCGCTAACCCAGAAATAGTGCTTCAGGTTAGAAACTTTGCTTCAGGATAAATACAGAAATCGTGCTCCGGTGGCACAGCGGCAGCAGGAGGCCCCATTGGCTAAACTGGTGCTTCAGGTTAAGAACAGTTTCAGATTAACAACAGACCTCCGGAATGAATTAAGTACTTAACCTGAGGTACCACTGTATTGTCTACACACCAAGAGACTGCAATCTACTCCTAGTATAAAAAAACTGGGAGTGATCTACCCATTGTCATTGCCAAGAGTTGTCAAGCTTTTTTGGAGGAGCATTGCCTAGAGTTTTTGAGCTTTTTGGGGGGAGGATTGCAATGGGACCTAGCACCGGGGGCAGAGGGTGGGGACATTCATTGCCCACTTTATTGAATCCCATAATTGATCTGGAGCAGCCCGGCGATATACCTGTTGATTATGTTCGACCCGTTGAACATGTCGGGTCTACATGCATGCATGCTCTAGTTATCTCCCACTTGAACTACTGCAATGCGCTCTACGTGGGGCTACCTTTGAAGGTGACTCGGAAACTTCAATTAATCCAGAATGCTGCAGCTAGACTGGTGACTGGGAGTGGCTGCTGGGACCACATAACACCGGTCCTGAAAGATCTCCATTGGCTCCCAGTACCTTTCCGAGCACAATTCAAAGTGTTGGTGCTGACCTTTAAAGCCCTAAACGGCCTCGGTCCAGTATACCTGAAGGAGCGTCTCCACCCCCATTATCCAGCCTGAACACTGACGTCCAGCTCTGAAGGCCTTCTGGCGGTTCCCTCGCTGCGAGAAGTGAGGTTACAGGGGACCAGGCAGAGGGTCTTCTTGGTGGTGGCTCCCGCCCTGTAGAACGCCCTCCCAGCAAATGTCAAGGCAATAAACTACTATTTTACTTTTAAAAGACAACTGAAGGCAGCCCTGTTTAGGGAAGTTTTTAATGTTTGATGCTGTATTGTTTTTAATATTCAGTTGGAAGCCCCCCAGAGTGGCTGGGGAAACCCAGCCAGATGGGCGGGGTATAAATAATAAATCATTATTATTATTACACTGACTGGCAGCAGCTCTCCAGGGTTTCATATCCTCTCAGCCCCAGGACTGGCCCACCCAATAGGTCACCTCAGGCGGCACAATCCCTGGGGTCAGCAGTTCCAGGTGTCTTTCTTTCTTTCCCTCTTGTTCCAGGTGGAAATCGTCACTCAACCCTTCTACCCTAGTGAGGGTGAGGGGAACCATTTTAGGGTTCACTTCAAGTGCCAAAATGTATTATACACCTTTAGGCGCCAGGCAAAAACGTTCCTCTTTAACCAGACCTTTGGCTGATTGACACCCAATGCCATTTTCAAATGTGTTGGGGAGTTATTCAGGAGACCACTGTAAACAGATGAAATCATTAGCAGGATTATTATACCACTTGTAGCTGAGCCTGATGATTGCCTAAGGTTCCCAACCCCTACAGTCATAATTCGACAGTTGCCTTCTGATCTTATTTTATTTTAATCTGATTTTAAGCTGTATTTCAGTCAATTGCTGAATTTTATGTATTAATGTATTTATATTTTGATGTTAGCCTCCCTGAGCCCAGTTATGGCTGGGGAGGGCGGGATATAAATTAAATTTATTATTATTATTTATTATTGTAGTGTAACAAATACGATGGAGAATACGGATAGATATAAAACATGGATTACAATACAATATGCAGTTGAAAACATTGACATTAGGACCTACTGAGGGGATGAGGGGGGTCATGAGATTCAGAGGTATCTCTGTAAATGGAAATGTATTTGGTTTTGTTATAAATTTATATTTAAAAAATAAAATTTACAATAAAATAAAATAAAATGTGTTGGGGAGAGGGAGAGATACTGGGTTGTTCTTGTTTTCAGATCTATTATGTATTTTATGTTTTAATATTGTGAACCGCTCTGAGACCAGCTTTAGTATGCAAATTTAATAAATAATAATGAATAATAGTAAAATTGGGGTGACCCTGCTCAGTTTTTTTCTGAGGTTTTGCATACAGAGCATGTGGTGTGCAAGCACCCCTAGTATAAGTCCAAGTGATTTCATTCCTTTTCAGGAGTCAGCAAACTTTTCAGCCGGGGGCTGGTCCACTGTCCCTCATACCTTGTGGGGGGCCGGACTATATTTTGAAGGGGGGAAAAATGAACAAATTCCTATGCCCCACAAATAAGCCAGAGGTGCATTTTAAATAAAAGCACACATTCTGCTCATGTAAAAACATGCTGATTCCTGGACCATCTGCAGGCTGGATTTAGAAGGCGATTGGGCTGGATCCGGCCCCCGGTCCTCAGTTTGCCTACCCATGCTTTAAACCCCAAGGTGGTGCATTTTGTGGTTCCTAAATTATAAGATTGCGCTAGAAATTCAGACAATGACTCCTTCTATCAGTTTGATCAACGCTACGATGCCTTCACACAGCAGCCTCTGTCAAAACTTTCCAAGTCAGGGGCACCATAATCCACTTTCTCCTGCATTTTTAGCACATCGTGATTTGGTTGTTTTTTTAAAATTTTATTTTTACAAAGTGTCAGCTGCAACTTGCTCTCAAAACTATTTCGTTGGAGGCTGTTGACAGTTTGACTATCCGAAATGCATCCTGCTGTTCCAAGTTGGTGGATTTCTTTGGCTGGGCCTCGCAAGAGCGGCTTGCCCATTCTGTTAGGCTTCCGAGGTGAGAAGTGTAGAGTTGCCACCATTTGTTCCTCATCTCACCCCAGCTAATTAATGTCTGCACATGAATTGTCTAAATGTTAAGCCACATGCAAGCTGTCAGGAACAAATGGGGCTGTGCTTCCCCCTCCCCTCCAGTAAAGGAAAACATGGTCGTGGGTAGACAAGAGAACATGAAGTATCGATTGTTCTGGGTGAATCGGCCCCCAAGGGAAAGACAACAACGCACCCCGAGTTAGTAGCCCATCAAAATGGATTCAGATTCAAGAGGCAAGATTTAATTGGCAGATTAATCAATCTAAGCTTTAATTGCAGATTAAAACGAAAACATTAAATACCGTTAAATGAGGTGGTTATATGCTCTGATGTGTTTGCTTAGGTCATTTTTTTGTAACCAACACAAGGACATAAGAATGGTCCGTCTAGACCTGCGTCCCGTTCTGAAGGTGGCCAACCAGGTGGGAAAACAGCAACCAGGAGTCGAGAACAAGGACCATCTTCTTCTCGCCTGTGGTTTCCAGCAACTGTTATCCAGAAGCATTGTTGTCTCCAACAGTGGTAACCTTCAGGTGGTATTGCACCACCATAAACCCTCCAAGTGCCCCAACTTTCCTGGGACAGAACCGGCTTTACAGAAGTCACTTCGGTTTCTGATTTGATCCCAGAATGTCCTGCTTTTCCTTAGGATGTCCCTGTTTTTATGGGAGAATTGTTGGAGGGTATGGAGTTATGCAACCCCTGAGCCAAAAAGATAAGCAACTATCCAACCTTTAGAAGATATCTGAAGGCAGACACGTATATGGAGGTTTTGTAATGTTTAATGTTTTATTGTGTTTTTATATAAGTTGGAAGCTGCCTAGAGCAGTTGGGACCACCCAGTCAGATGGGTGGGGTATAAATGTTGTTGTTGTTGTTGACAAGGTGCCCTTATTTTCCCTGGAGGGTAAGCTACAATCAGCCCCAGCCAGAAAGCATTGGCCAGGGAAGATGGGAGTCAGGTTCACAGAAAGGTGCCTTATACCAAGTCAGGCTCCATTTACCTCAGTGTTGCTGACACTGACTGGCAGTGGTTCGCCAGGGTTTCAGACACAGATTCTTTCCAAGTCATACCTAGCTTGTGCTTGGAATCGAATCTGTAAATGTTGGTCTATATTTCAGGCCTATTAAATAAAGAAAGGCATTGTGGAAATCAAAGCGCCAATGGCTAGCGCTGGGCAAAGGCTTCCAGCCTGTCAGAAACTTTGTCAGGAGCAAAAGAGCTGGGAAAACTGATTTCCTGTGGTCAACAGCTGAAACATTACTCAGGAATGAATCAGACCAAAGTCCCATCTAGTCCAGCACCGTGTTCTCACAGATGCCAGCAGACCCACCAAGTCTCCCTATTTTCCAGGGACCGTCCTGGATTTACAGAAGCCGTCCAAGTTTCTGATTTGATCTTGGAATGTCCCATTTTTCCTTAGAACATCCCTATTTTCATCGGCAAAATGTTGAAGGTTTTGGACTTATGTGAACCAAAGAGATAAGTAACCATACAACCTTTGGAACCTGCCCAGTCAGATGGGTGGAGTATAAATGATGTTGTTGTTGCTGCTGAATAGAAGAAGAGGAGGGGGGGAGGAGGAGGAGGAGGAGGAGGAGGAGGAGGAGGAGGAGGAGGAGTTTGTATTTGATATCCCGCTTTATCACTACCCTAAGGAGTCTCAAAGCGGCTAACAATCTCCTTTCCCTTCCTCCCCCACAACAAACACTCTGTGAGGTGAGTGGGGCTGAGAGACTTCAGAGAAGTGAGACGAGCCCAAGGTCACCCAGCAGCTGCATGTGGAGGAGCGGGGAAGCGAACCTGGTTCACCAGACTACGAGTCGACCACTCTTAACCACTGGATGTCCCTATTTTCATCAGAGAAACATTGGGGAGTATGGGCCAGCAAGATGCCTTTGAGAAGCTCATAGGCATGGCCTGAGTGCAATGTGATGGTCCCTTCTTGCAGTTTCCAGCAACTGGTATTCAGAGACATGTTGCCTACAACAAGAGAAAACATCCATGGATATTCCCCCTGCACTTCTACATTCTGATTATCCTTTCAAATTCCTTATAGAGCTATCTTTTATCTTTGCATTGTGCTTTTTTATTGAAGCTTTTTCATTTTCCTTCCATCTCATCTCTCTCTCTCTCTCTCTCTCTCTCTCTCTCTGTGTGTGTGTGTTTTATGCAGCTTTCTGTTGCATCCCTTGGTGAAGATTATTCATTTGGGATGACACCTTCAAGACATTTCTGTAGCTTCCCAGCCCCTCTGGGAATTTCAAGAATAAATTTGTGACAGCGAAAGTTCCCACCTAGTTTTGCACAGCGGGAAGTGCGAACGAGAGCTGAACGAAGAGCTTTTCAGCTGTTAGTACTTAAAGCAAAAATAATAATAATTAGCATAATAATAATAACAACCTTCCGTATTCATGGCACACAAAGTAATAATGGAAATTCTTCGAGGATGCAATCGCAAAATATACAAATATAAGGGTGGGAATCATGTTTTTCTTTTCTTTTTAAACTTATACCTGTCGTATAAATGATGGTGGCTGTTTCCCCTCACTTCGAACCTTTCTCAGTCCAAGAGCTGTGATTGGTTCTGGATAACTTTCCAGGAGTCACAGTCCCCTGGTGGGCGTGGCCAGAGACAAAAGTGGGCGGGGCAAAAATTCGAATTACCATTATGCTGTAAGCTGCCCAGAGTGGCTGGGAAAACCCAGCCAGATGGGTGGTCTAAGAAATAAAATTATTATTATTATTAGTAGTAGTAGTAGTAGTAGTAGTAGTAGTAAGCAGGCTAGTTTCTACACAAATTCACACACAATCTGGCATTTGATGCTTGAAATTCCTATTCCTGGCAGCCTTGAAACTGGTTGAATGTAGGCAATTGCTTTTAGGAGCATTTTAAGGGATTTATTTTAAGGTTGTATTTAACTGTGTGTTGTTGTTGTTTTAAAGAATTTTTAACTGCATTGTTTTGACATTGACATGTTTGCCAGCCTGGGCTCCTTTGGGGGAAGGTGTGGGGTATATATTTAATAAATAAATAACCCATCCTACACCCAGATGTGCAAAAATTGGCAGGGTTCAAGGACAACATTCCAGCCACACAAAAACCCTCAGGGCTTTTCTGCACTTACCATCATTCAACTAGTATCCTGGAACAATGTACAGTCATACCTCAGGTTGAAGTAGCTTCGGGTTGAGTGTTTTCAGGTTGCGCTCCGCGGCAACCCAGAAGTAACGGAATGCGTTACTTCCGGGTTTTGCCGCTTGCGCATGTGCAGACGCTCAAAATGACATCACACGCATGCGTGGAAGTGGCGAATCGCAGCATGCACAGACGCACAGTCATGGCTTGCGTTCGCTTCAGGATGTGAATGGGGCTCCGGAACGGATCCCGTTCGCATCCGGAGGTACCACTGTATATCATTCCCCAATAATTCTTAATTATTTTACAATTCCACCACATATGAAAAAGACGTGCCATCTTTTTCTTTACACTTCCATCATTTTTTAGAGCCTGTTCTATACATTCTTACCATTTTTACAGGTGTAATGTACCATCTATACATCATTTTTATATTTGGGTCCATTTTTGACACCCCACATTCTGAGTCGTGAAAAAAGGGTTCCAAAACTGAGATGGAAAGATCAACAAGGCCTCGTGGTCCTATTGTGCTGAGTCAGACATTGGTGCCTCTAGTTCAATACTGTCCGCACTGACTTTCAGCGTCTCTCAGGTGTTTCAGCCTTTCCCACAGATGTCAAGGATTGAACTTGAGATCTTCCGCATGCTGAGCAGACGCCCTACCGCGGCGCTACAGCTCTTTCCCACCTTGCACACCATCACGGGAATTAAATCACCTCCACCGTACCAGCAGCATAACAGGTCCGATATTGTAGAGATAATTGTTTTATTAAAATATTTGCTCTTTTGCTCCTGACAAGATTTCTGACAGGCTGGAAGCCTTTGCCTAGCGCCACGCCAGCCATTAGCGCTTTGATTTCCACAATGCCTTTCTTTATTTAATAGGCCTGAAATATTGATTAACATTTACAGATTCAATTCCGAGCACTAGCCAGAGGTTACAGAGAGCTGGTTGCGCCATCAAATCCGAAGGTGTAATGAAATCCCCCACTGTGCCTGTCAACTTATCCCTGGTACAGGTCATTTCCCACAAGTTCCCCGGCGTTGGGGAAAAAAAGCAGCCATTTTCACTTCAAACATTTGGTAAGCGACAGGAAAAATCTGTCTCCCGCATTGTATTCTCTGGGTCTTTCGAGAAAATTGAATAGGCTCATTTCAGCTTACATTTCTCTGGGTTCTGAAACATACCAGATCGCTAGAGGATGAAAATGCTTTTGAGGGAGACCCAGGCTAAGGCACTCAATATAAGCGTTTCCTTCTCAAGAAATGTCAACAGAACTGGGGCTGCATAATGGTAGACCGTAGCCTACTCAAAAGCAACAACTGCATCTGGCAGTTAACCAGAAGGCTGGTGGTTCAAGCCCACCCAGGGATAACTGTGGGCAGGATTCCTGCTGTTATGTACTGAAGTTCTCACCCTGGGCCAGCAGGGGGACTGAGGCTGTGCCTGACATTCTGCCAACTCCACTTGCGGATGTTCCACCCACAGCAGCGGATCCAGAGGACTTGGTTTCAATGCCACCTAGGGTCACGCTACAGCCTCAGCAAGAATCGGGCGGCCCCCCGGACCTGGGTACCGGTCCCTGGCGGTCTGGCAGAGTTTCCAAGTGCCCAACTTATTTAAAGGACTATGTTGTTGGACATGTAACCCTGTTGGTCTAATGGAAGTATGTGAAATGCAACCGATACGCTTTTGTGCCTAATTGAACCATTACGTGTAGTGCTATATATAAGAAAACCATTATGATTGTAACTAATGCCTTATCTCGGTGGGGAGGGGTGTTATGTACTGAAGTTCTCACCCTGGGCCAGCAGAGGGATACTGTAGATAGTTCAGGTCCACATATGCAAATAAGGGACCGAAAGTGACGTTCAGTGATTGGATAGTTACAGAAAGTTGTTACAGTTACGTTGTACTGGAGTTCTATATAAGCAGGCTGGCTGAACCCTTCAGTTCAGTTCTGTTCTGACCTGTGAATAAACAAGAGCTGCTTGGAGAATCGCTGTGTTGTCTGATATGTTCACCCACAACTTAACACCTGCATTGCAGGGGGTTGGACTAAATGACTCTCTGGGTTCCTTCAAACTTACAATTCTATGATTCTGTGAACTGCAGGCAATTGTGGGGGGAAGTGGGTGACCATGAACCATAGGGTGGACAGTCAACTTTCTAATGATGGGTTCTGCAATCTCCAAGGTTGTGGGATGCATCAGTTCACCTGTAGGAAATGGCCACATCTCGGTGGTAGAACATCTGCTTTTCATGCAGAAGGTCCCAAGTTCAATCTCCTGGTAGGACTGGGGGAATCCCCAGTCGAAAATCCCTGAGAGCGCTCTTGCTATTTGAAAGAACAGACTTCCATGAGAGGTGGTGGGCTCTCCTTCCTTGGAGGTTTTTAAGCAGAGGTTGGATGGTCACACTGAGAGCCAGTGTGGTATAGTGGTTAAGAGCAGTTGACTCGTAATCTGGTGAACCGGGTTCGCTTCCCCGCTCCCCCACATGCAGCTGCTGGGTGATCTTGAGCTAGTCACACTTCTCTGAAGTCTCTCAGCCTCACTCACCTAACAAAGTGTTTGTTGTGGGGGAGGAAGGGAAAGGAGAATGTTAGCCACTTTGAGACTCCTTAGGGTAGTGATAAAGTGGGATATCAAATCCAAACTCTTCTTCATCATCATCATCTGCCATGGATGCTTTAGCTGGGACTTCTGCATTGCATAGGGTTGGACTAGATGGTCCTTGGGTCCCTTCCAGCTCAAAGATTCTATGAAAAACTTTGCTCCAGTGTTGAAAAATACCATGGAAGCATGTTGTCTGTGGGCACCACCCACCCTGGTAATTCCTGCCCTTTATAAAATATTTTTGGGAAACAGCACTCTAGCTCTGAGTGTCTTCTAATCCCCATTTGGTGTCCAGTTGTCTCATCCCGCTTTCAGGCTGAGGGAGCCGGAGTTTGTCCACAGACAGCTTTCCAGGTCATGTGGTCAGCATGTCTAAACCGCTTCTGGTGCAATGGGATGCCGTGATGGAAACCAGAGTGCACGGAAATGCCGTTTACCTTCCTGCCACAGCGGTACCTATTTATCTACTTGCACTGGTGTGCTTTCGAACTGCTAGGTTGACAGGAGCTGGGACTGAGCAACGGGAGCTCACCCCGTCACGTGGATCCCTGGATGGTTAAGTTCAGTCAAAGGTGCTCATCTCACTTTCAGGCCAAGGGAGCCAGAGCACATGGAAACGCCATTTACCCTCCCACCACAGCGGTACCTATTTATAAGAATGATAATAATTTATTATTTATACCCTGCCCATCTGGCTGGGATTCCCCAGCTACTCTGAGCCGCTTCCAATAGAACACTAAAAACAGAATAAAACTTCAGACATTAAAAACTCCATAAATAGGGCTGCCTTCAGATGTCTTCTAAAAAGTCAGATAGTTGTTTATTTCCTTGACATCTGATGGGAGGGCGTTCCACAGGGCGGGTGAGAAGGCCCTCTGCCTAGTTTCCTGTAACTTCACTTCTCTCAGTGAGAGAACCGCCAGAAGACCCTCAGAGCTGGACCTCAGTGTCTGGGCAGAACGAAGGGAGTGGAGACGCTCCTTCAGGTATACTACTTTATCTACTTGCTTTATCTACTTTATCTACTTACTCCTTTATCTACTTGCACTTTGACGTGCTTTCAAACTGCTAGGTTGGCAGGAGCTGGGGTAGAGCAACGGGAGCTCACCCCATTGCAGATTTTCGAACTGCTGACATTCTGATGGGCAAGCCCAAGAGGCTCAGTGGTTTAGATCACAGTATCCAGTAGAAAGCCCCCCAAAACAGAGTGTTACAAGGGTGGGGAAGGAGCAGGGCTGAGAGGACCCAAGATAGGGTCTGATGTGGCCGCCCCATTGCCTTCCACTGCTACTGATGCTTCTGCGACCAGCTGGGCTGTGGAACCATTGGTGGCATCAGGAATATAGGATTCCTCTGCAAGACACCCAATATAGTGAAAATATTCCAATATGAATATGCACACCTCTATCATTCAAATTAGATCCGAAGCCATTCACACTGTTTTGATTTCATCTTTCACACCCAATAAATATTACAAAGCCGCCGTATATGCTTTTAATGTTTCAAATATGTTTTTGTTTTGTTTTTAATTGCATTGTTTTACCACCTCGCTGTCTGCCACCCCAGGCTTCTTCAGAAGGAAGGGTGGGATAGGAATGGAATAAATGAAATAAATACGGAATCACAGCCTTGGTCTTATCTGACTGCCAGCAATTCCACACAATCTTTCCCAGCACTAATATAAATACCAGACATCTGTTTATATATGTGTATATATATATACCACTTAACCTCTAAGCGGTTTATCTAAGCCATAAAACATAGATTCAATCAAATCAGACTTTAAAAAAGCAAGTTTATAAAAAAGATAAATTATAAGATACAATTACGTATTAATATGCCTGTCAGACATACAGTACATGTCTAGGTAGGCTTTCTGAAATAAATTATAATATATATTTTAATGTATGCTGCCTTTCCACAGTTAAAAAAAATGCTCAAGGCGGCTTACTGCATAACAAGATTTCCATAATTACAAAAATCATAAACAATAAATAAACCACAACCAAAATGCACAACCAAATGGAAAACAATTTCCACATAAATCAAAATCTAAAACTACAAATGCAGCATTAGTATCACAGTAAAAAATGACATAGGTAAAAAATAACAGCAATTTAAACAAAAAATAAAATAAAATGGAGCCCTCCATGCCCAGCAGCAGCAGCAGCAGCAGCACTTTGCGTGGCGAGTTCCCACCTCTCCCCAGAGAAAATAAAGACACAGGACACCATGAATTAGTTTAATGGGAGAAATAGGCCACAACTTTATTGATTACAGGAATGAGCGGTATTGGCTTAGGCATTGGTCCTATCGACTAGTCGGCTTCAGCCCGGTTGCGTGAAGACCGGCAAGGGTTAACCACCAGCAGAGGGAGTCCCGCTGAGGCACGTCAACTAGGAGCTCCCCCGGGGTCACCGTTTGGGGGCGTGCCTTAGGCCCACACCTCCATAGGCTTCGGACAGGGCAACGCCCCCCGGAGTCCTTTATCAGACTACCCTTTGCTGTGGGGAGGAGGCGATGGCGCTTCTTCCCCCCCTCTCATCTACTTAACCCTCCCTTACCAATGCCTAACCGCCAATGCCGAGGAGTTGTGATGAGTTGCTACAAGATAGGCGAAAAACCAAATGGCTGGAGCCAATTTGCCAATTGGAAAAAATTCCTACCAGGCCCCTTGACGGCGACCAACCAAAGTCCATAGCAATGTCAAAGGAGCCTGCCTAAAGGGAGGGAGGGATGGGAAACCGAATCAGCTGGCGCGGTGAAAAGAGGGCGAGCCTTGGCCGCGCTGGCCCTAAATAGGACAGGCCACGCCTCCCCAGCCAGCCGATTAGCTGGCTGGGTGGGTGACGCAGCCGAGGATTCCCATGAACTCGTGGGGGCTGTGACCAGCCCCCGCGCAGGTGGGGGTGGGCGTGAAGCCCGCAACCCCACCTCCTCCCTAGGCCAGAAGTGGCTTTATAGAGCCCATCAGGTCCACCCTCGACCAGGTGGTGCGTGGCAGGACTGGGGCCCTCAGGCGATGAGCAGGGGAGTCCTCTTTGCAGAGCAGAGCAAAGATTATGCTACACTTCTAAAAGTGCCAGAGCTGCAGATCCAAGTGTTCAGGTGAAGATGAATTTTAATTTTCTAGAATCACGGGTCTTGTCCAACCCCCTGCAATGCAGGAATCTCAGCTAAAGCATCCATGACAGATGGCCATCCAACATCTGCTTTAAAAACCTCCAAAGAAGGAGAGAGTCCGCAACCTTCCTAGGGAGTCCGTACCACTGTTCTTCCTGGGGTTTGGTCAGAATCAACCTTTCTTGTAACTTGAAGCCATCAGTTTGAGTCCTACCCTCCAGAGGAGGAGAAAACAAGCTCGTCCTCAAGGCTTCATCTTTCTTCAGAGCACCCACCCAAAAAAAACCCCATGTCCTGTGCACAGACCAACATTAACCTCAGTGAGTGAGGGAGAAGGGCCCCCGCTGAACATTCCCATGTGAATACCAGCAGCAGGGCTCTGGTTTGATCATCTGCACCCGGCAATTTAGGGTGGAACACATTTGGTGGAGTTCAGGAAAACAATGCACAATGCAACCGCTCACAAGGTGCAGCTGCTGCAGCTGTCACTCCCTAACTAGACACCGACACACAAATACAGCGACAATTTTCTTTTCAGGCAGAAACAAATGCGGAGATTTGATTTTTTCCCCTTTCCCTTTTTTTTCTTTCTTTTGAGAGAGAGAGAGGGAGGGAGGGAGGTCTTTGTACTTTTTAGAGGAAAAACAACAGCAGCAAAGCAATACTACAAAAGCATATGCCAGCTACATTTACTGTGTGGCATGACTCACAAAATGCACCTCTGATTACATCATCTGACAGCTGTGGATAGGACGAAACGGCGCAAAGCTGGTTTCATTACCAGACGCCATCATCTGTTCAATGGGATTGTGTGTGATGTGATGGCAGAAAGGCACGTGCTCAATGAGCAGGTGCGCCAAAATCATTGCAAGCTGACCTGAGGTGGGCACCTCGCTGCAAGGGGACTGCGCTGGACTTGACCCTGCTCAAAGCCCTCCTTTGGCCCAGGTCCCCAAACACATAGTCCAGTCTAGGCCCTTAGCTTGGGATGGGGATCTCAGGCCCAGGGACTGAAGATGGTCCTCCCAACACCCGTCTCTGATACCAAAAGTTTCCAACTGAGAAACAACTCTGCCAATGTGGAGATGGCAATCTGGAAACAGTGGCTCATGTTCTCCTGTCCTGTCCCCTTTATAAAGACCTGAGGAATGAGATCGTCACCCCACTCTTACTTACCATCCCAGGCCGCCCTTCTGAGGTCACATTGTTCTTTCTTTTATCAGATCAAAATGATCAGACAACAGCAAAGGTTGCTAGGTTTATTGAGGGTGCAATGAGATTAAGTGCCGCTATCTGAACGATATGCCTGTTGTCTTTGCCCATGGAGTTTTCTTGGCAAGGATACTGGAGTGGCTTGCCGGTTCCTCCTCCAGGTGGATCACGTTTGGTCAAAACTCTCCACTATGACCTGTCCATCTTGGGTGCCCTGCTCGGCATAGTTCATAGCTTCTCTGAGTTATTCAAGTCCCTTCGCCACGGCAAGGCAGTGATGTATGGAAAGTGAGAGCTGGACCATAAAGAAGGCTGATCGCCGAAGAATAGATGCTTTTTATTAAATA